TTGATGAGTACAAGAAAGGTATAAAACTTTATTTATAAAAATAAAGGTATAAACATTAATGCATGCATAGCATAAATAATTTGTTATGCAAAATAAGAAAAACCCTACAATGCATGTGATAACTTTTAGTGGCAACCCTCTGGAAAGTTCTCCGAACACAAAAGGTATGCAGAGAAAATGTGAGTTTCGTGAATAATAGCATCTCTGGTAACTAAAAAAACCTTTATTTACAATTGCCAATAACATTTTAGTATGAGACATTTTAAAGCTTACAGAAGCATAAGAATACCAGATCGGAGGCATTGATATGTTCATTCTACTCGAACAGCATTTTAAACAAACATTACCATTTTAACCAACATGCAAAATATTAAATATAAAGGTTTTCATATTTGCTATAAATTTTTTAGATTGTGAGTCTTGTTTATTTTAGAAATATGTAGCATCCATCTTGCAGAGAATGGAAAGCCATAAAACTATTTCCATACAAATTTTATATATACTGTTCACTAAATCTAAATCATAAAACAAATTTAAGCTATAAAAATTACCAAAATATACTCAGCATCGTTTTCCTTTTCCCATTTCAGTCAGAAAAATGTGGTATGCATGTACGAGTATATTTGCATCAATATATCGGGGTATAAATGCTTTTCAGTTTAGCGATATTTTAATATAGTTTTATGAGATACTGAGGAAAAGTGCATGTATTCTTAACCCTCAATTTTCTATTAAATTAGTGACGCTAATCCGTAAGATATGGATTCAAAAGGAATTTCAAATTATAAATTATTCTTTCTTGGATCGTAGATTTTCTCAGGATATGTGATACCATCTGATGCTATTTTATATTCGAAATTCGAAACAGCAATAGTAGTTTTTAACATTAAATCCATTTAAATAGTGATATCTGATATTTGAAAAATGATATTGTTACGAATTTTATATATACATAAATAATTTTAGTGCAATTATATGGGAAACTGTAGTATCTTTTATATAACGTAACACGAAATACTTAAAAAATCGAAGCTATGCTGAAGAAACAAGGTTACAGGAACGAGTCTATTTAACAGGTGACAGGTGAGAGCAGGATCCAGGCATCCGGGCGGCTTTCATTGACTATTCGGGTAACGTCCGGATCTCGCAACTGTCTAGAAAAACAATCTTGCCAAACAGAGGCTGATGTTGGAAGACAGACGTATTGTGGATTCTTAGAATACCAATGCTTATTATACTTGAATTTAACAAACATTCTCTATTCGTAAAATTCAAATTTAAAGTTAATAAAATTAAATGAAATTTAATGCAAGTTAGCAATGTTAGGGAAGTTTCTGTAGGCAAGAGTTTCTAAATTACTTTGGTTTTCTAAAAATTTGGTTTTCTACTCTTATTTATTAATTTTTTAATTTTAATTATAGTCTTTCAATTTCTCAAAATTCCACTTGTTTAAATTATTTCTCTAATTTCCCTTGTTTAAATTTCATTTTAGTAATTCACCACATCTGGTATTACTTCTGGTTTGGAGTTTTACCCTTGCCTACATGGATGACGAAACAGGAATTGAATGATTGAAGAGTTAGGTTTGGAGGCAAATTTCCCTTGATAAGTCTGTCTCCTGCCTGCTCAAAAATCATTCACTTATGCATTTTTATAAATAATTTTTTAGGATTAAATAATATTGGAATTTTATATTTATTCATGGATTTTGATACGTGTACTTGATTTACATATGCTCTTATAATATAAATGATATTGTAGATTAGTTAGCAACAATAATTATTTATTTGTTTGTATTAAATTTCATTTAAATTTATTAACTTTAAATTTGCTTTTTACGAAAAGAGAATGTTTGTTAAATTCAAATTTCATTCCTTGCAGCAATGGCGCAAAGAATTATTCAAAAATTAAATTTAACTTTACTTTATTCTTTTGAATGTTTATTGTACAATATATGACAATATAGAAATACTTTACATCAAAAAGTGGTTTAAGTTTAACTTTACTTTATTCTTTTAAATGCTTATTATACAACACATGACAATATAGAAATACTTTACATCAAAAAGTTGTGTTACTATCTTCAATTAAACAGTAGTAATACATCCTATGCATTATACCTTAATAGCGCACTCGATATATTAATACATATAAAAGTTCTTCTCAGGTTTTCTAAAAAAGTTCTCTAAAAGTACTAACTCTACAGACATATTGCAGAGCAGTACCTGTGCACATTATGCAAATTATAAATATATACATTATACGTTAATAATACATGCATACATACATTACATTAATAAATATATAACGTAAAAAGTGCATTCCCTTTCCAATAGGGGAATGCACTTTTTACGCAAACAGTTTTATGGGGAACTGTTTGCGTTTCATTTCGATTACATTGAGCGTTCAACTTACGCATTAACATTATATTAACTGGTGTAAAGAGATTAATTTGTATGTACGAGTTCGATCTCCTATGGCTAGGTGGCACGAGTCTGTTTAACACGGAATAAATGGCTATCTCGCTAAATTTCCCAGATATCGTCAAGTTCGCGATGATTTCGGCAACAAATATTTGTTGCCAAATTCGGCGAGAAATCGTTGAAATTTTGGCCGTATTTCGATCCAATGCCTCTATAGCTGTAGTTCTGTAACGGAATAACTAATTGATCCCTGTATATAACTGTAACTGTATCCGGCCCTTATGTGTAAGTTTAAACGTATATGCTTTCCAGTAATTTCGAGAAATGAAAGGTACTAGAGATTTCCCGGAAGTCGGGAAAAATTTATACAAGCCCGAAGAGAGCATCAGTTTTTAGTTCAGAGTTAGGCCTTCGTGCGAGCTTCACTCTATAAATACGTTTTATATTGCGTTCTTTTTAACGTTCTGAGTAGTTTATAATGTTAAACTATTGATTGTGCTCTGTCATACCGAGACGATTTGTACGGGCACTTTTGTGGAAAGTTCTAAAACTGTAAAGTTTTCCTTTTGTTAAAATAAATTTTGTCAAGCTATCGCTGGTTCTTCGTGTATTTAATCCAATACGAACCCCTACGCAAACAAAAATAGTTGTCTATGTAGCATGCCAAGCTTTGAATGCCGATGAGATTGTTGTGAGAAGTACTGAGGAAAATGGTGACATAAAAGGAATATTATGAGGAAGAAGAAGAAATGAATGAAACGTGACTTTCTTGTTTTCAGTGCCTTTCATCTTATCATGAACGGTATGAAAAACAAGTTTAATTCAATCAAAACGAATTACTAATTCTACAAATATTACTCAGTTCGGCAACTTCCAAACATCCAAAATTCATTCTTAGAAATCTAAACGTAACCTACTGTTTTAAGCTTCGTAAAAACCTGTGTACTTGTGGCAACATATTTCCTGATAAGCTTCTCCCGTCCTATGCGACACACGCACTAGTTTGATAGCCGGAAACATATTGCCGGCACTTTAAGGTCATGTTGCCGGCGCCTACCTTAAGGACTGCAAGCACAGAGGGAAACAAAATTGCTGGCGTTTAGTTATACTAATGAAATTACTTTAAATCACGTGTTGGGAGCGATCAGTTTTGTTTTGCTAATTCTACTTAGCTAAACTTATTCTGAAACTCTAAAAGACGAACCGATAGATATGTTCCTTGACTAACTGTGTGTTTTGCTTCGATTGATCTTGTTAAGAGCATTGAAGTTATTATGGAATGCCTGCCATAATAATTACAAGAATAAGATTCGAGTTAAATTGTACTTCACTTAACTTACTTAATAATATCTTTCAAAATGTAGAAATAAATATATAAATATAAATATGTAAATATATAAAAAGTTCAGATCAGTTTTAGAGTAAAATCGCGCTGTTTAGAAGAATAGCTGTAAGGCAACAAGTTTCCATGGAGAACTGTTTGCGTCCCCAAGCAATTTTGTACGCGGACATTAATATAACGTATCATAATTTGAATTTTATTCATTGATTTATATTAATTTTGTTATAATGATTAGATATGTGATTGGATGCTTAACAGTTCTTAATTTTTCTCAGATAATAAATGTGAAGCAACGGCATTTCTTAGAAGCTTAATTTATCCGAAATATGCCGTTTTAATTAGTTCGGATAATCTGTTGTTTCTCTTCTCTTATATCAATTTACACATCAAATAGAAAAATAAATTTAAATAAAAAACTATTTAATTTTTTGTCCAATGGCAGATTGTGAACAATTACAAATGTAACCCAGTTCATTAATCCATACAAGGCCGGATGTGGTGGTCTCTTTATTATGGAGGCACCTAATAGGTGGGCCACCATCGCCTTTCCTATGAAGGGACGGACAGTTACAGTCATGCCTTCTCCGGGATTCGAACCCAGGCCCTTCGGGATCGCAGTCAGCTTCCCTTACCACCATACTGACTTGGCGGCTCTATTTAATAATTATTGGTTAACTATTAATTTTAATATAAGAATGTTCAAATTAACGAGTTTCAAACAAAAGGAGCTTTTGGAGTCCTGTATCAGAACAACATTTTACAAGCAAATATTTCATATCTATTCTCTTTAAAATATTCATATCTATTTCCTCTTAAAAAATTTTGGAAAATTTTTGCGTTTTCAGCTTTAGGTATGTTCAGTATGTATATTCCATGTAAAAGCTCCTAAATTAACCTTAATTTGTTACCAACACTTTAGGTTTAACTCCTTGACTATTAAGGTCAGTATACATTATTGTGACTTTTATTTGAGTATGCTAAGTGAGAATTATGTTTGTAAAATGTATAAACGATCTTAATATAGGCATGTAAATGGAACGATCTGTTTTTAGGATTAATAGTCTGAACCTGTCAGTTTCAGTCAAGATTATGGCGATTCTCGATTTAAAAAGAATTCCTTTTTCCTTTAATCCGAGTTCCTGAAACTTCGAGCATCAAGAATCCGACGTTTTATATATTCATGAATTTAAAATAACACTAAAACAAATGTAATCGGTTATTTCGATTCTTTGCAGTTGCCAGGGAAGAAAGGTTCTGGACCAGGTGGTTGGGTTATCCAGGCAAAAGTTCAAATATATCTGTGGTTAGGACTAACCAAGCACAAAAAGCATTTCCTAAAAGGCCTTCCGAAGGGATATGACTCTTCAATGGAGATCAGAAATTCCGAAAAACTACAGACAGCACCTCCCTCTTCCATACATTACTCAGGTATTGTTTTATTTATTTTTTTTTTTTCTTCTGAAGGAGACTTCAGAATTTTTGATGTCTCCCAGATGATTTGCATTTCCCGAATAATATATGCAAGCTATGTTTCATTTTTACAAAAAAATGGCTTTTTATACTTTTTATTTATCTTAAATAAATAGCTAGGTTTTCAGCTTCTTATTTATTTTGAGATAAAAAATATAAAAAGGTTCAATTTCTTTAAAATAGGTAGTTTTCAGTTTTCTCTTAGCATGGCAAATCTATCTCCATAATGTGTAGAAGCTTTTGTACAATGTGTCAACACACAGCCTCCGCCCCATATATAAAGATATTTTTTTATTTTATTTATCATATTATATAGATATAAATTTTTTATTTAAAAAATTATCCCAATATTATTTCAGCTCAATATGCTGCTGAAAAATTTATCAATAACAAGCAAAAATTAAGAAATTAAGAATCAAATTCATAAAGACACGAATGAAATTAAATTCAATACCACCAAAACCCAAAATTAATATAAATATGTAAAAAATGATTATTTATCTACTTAATTTATATTATTACGTATTTACATAAATATGCAAAAATATTTTTAACATATTTATGGGAATTTTGGATTTTACTAGCATAGAATTTCATTTCATTTCTTATTTTTTGGTCTATAATTGAGACACAGATAGATATAGATATGGGTAGATGGATAGATAGATATAAGTATATAGATGTAGATTTATATACCTGTATACATATATACATGTGTGTCTGCTCGTCTGAGCGATTTTGGCGCAGTTGTAGGATTTAATGCAATTTTAAATTTGCCTGTAAAGGTAGTTTCCTGTTACGAGTCCTAGAATGACTGGAAAAATTAGTTAGCATTCAAAAGTTTTAATTTTCTCAAAAAGGCAACTTGTTTTTCGTGACTTCACTTTAAAATATTTTATAATTTCCCAAATACTCTCTATTACCTTAATGCTATGGGGATTAGTTTTTTTTAGTAGTAGAGAGCTTAGCTGGGAAAAATTTGCTTTTTAGAAGCTCAGTTATTTTTAAAACATAATTAGATTGTATTAAATCTTATGATTAGTTTTAAAATTGTTATTCTGCAGGATAAATATTGGGATTTATTTTACAATCATGTGCAGTCTACAACAATAATTTTGAACAGTAAACGAGCAAGGAATGCGCTTTCTGAAAGTAGGCTCATACTGAGATGCGTTTCAGAATCATTCTGCTCAACATTTAGAAAAGAAATAGCAGAAGAATTTAATTTTAATTTAATTCAAAAATTCGTTAGAAAAATTGTTTTAAATGGCTATTCAATTTCTGTGCTTATTTGATTACATTTAAATCTTATTCACTTTATACATCAGATCATTTAGAGGAAAAGTAATTGATAGCAGTCATTCACGTACTGCTGTTTTATATTCATTATTTAGTACTTACTTTTGATATAGTATAATTTGCATTTTGTGAGCTAGAATATTTTCCTCCATTCTTCTTATTAGTTTGAGAGAAGAGGAAGATAATAATATTTATAAGGTCTTAAATTTATTAACCAGTTATTTATCATTTTATTTTATTTTTACTTTCACTTCTACTTTTCTCAACCCCTATCAGGATACAAATAAGTTTATGTATTTATGCACAGAGCTTTTCAGTTCAAGAAAGAAATCGTGGCAGCTAACGCTAATATTTTCCCTGTTATTTCTCTTTTCTACTAAATTACTTGAATCGGTTTTAGCTTTGTTAGCCGTAACTGCTCGCGAGAATATTTAAGGACCTGTGCAAGAACTTAGAAGCTCGTTTTACCCTTGTAAATTAATATTTGAATTTTATTTTGTAGAGACATTAAGTAATTTCGAAACAGGAGAGATGAAAAATTAGCAATGCCCTCGCCGGGACTCGAACCACGGATCTCTCGAACACGCGTCGAGCTTGCTGACCACTACATCACGAAGTTATGCTAAGAAGGCGGGAGAAATACCTTATATACCCCCTTTTAAAGGACGACTGGGGATTAGGGGATCCAATCACCAAATCCTAGTGGAGGAGAATCATCATCCACCACCATTTTTAGTTTGGGCGCCACTGTAGAGACATTAGGTTATTTAGAAACAGGAGAGATGAAAACTGAGCAATGCCCTTGTCGGGACTCGAACCACTGACCTCTCGAATACGCGTCGAAAGTGCTGACCACCACACCACGAAGGTATGCTAAGAAGACGAGAAAAATATCTTATAACTTTACTTTTGTTTCTGTTGATCCGGTCCTTGTATGACTTGTATAACTTGTATAACCTTATATAACTGTAATTGATGTTGTGAATGAATGTAGTTGATCTCATTATGTAACTGTAACCGTATCCGGCTAATGAGATCGAAGATAGCATCAGTTTCTGATTAGTAGTGTTTAGTTCAACGTGAGTTCGGAGCATAGAGGTATCTCCGTGTGAGATTCGCTCTTTAGATACACTGCACTGCGCTGCGTTTAACGTTCTCGGTAGTCTGAAGTGTAATGACTGATTGTACTCTGTGAAGGGTTGTACGAGTATTTTTCTGGAAAGTTCCAGAATATTGAAACATTTCTTTTGGTTAAATAAATGCTATCAAGTTCTCAACAATTCTGTGTACATTCAATATGTTGCGAACCTGTACGCGCTCAACAATACTGATTTTTGGCATGGTAGTCAATGATCGATAAAACATTTTTATTTAACAGTTTTGTTCGCAAAACAAGCGGATGCGTTTTTTAAATTACGGAGTAGAACAATCTCAGCAGTATAATTCCTGTTAATCGAAAATATATAAATTGATGCCCTTTTAGCTCTCTTCTCTATCGACATTTTAAGTCCTGCTCTTTTTTTCGACAAAAATGTTGACTTTAAATAGCGTTAGTTTGCTCGTTAAGAAAGCTATATTTATGTAATTTGCAATAATTTAAAACCTGGAGTTCCTTTTCTTGGAAATTTGTTATATCATTGCATATTTTAGCTACAGATATTATAAAATGAATTGGAAACAATTGTTTTCATTTAATTGCTGCGTATGAATAAATTTACATATGACTTCGCGTTGATAATCGTGTTCGCTGGGAAAAATTCGCCTTTAAATGAATATCTGCTTTAATTGTTGTTTTAGAAAGATGTAGTCACGAAATTCTTCTAATTAATCAAATTAACGCTCTTTTTGAAAATATTTACCTACAAAATAAATATTTAGTTTAAATTTGTCTCAGAAAAGATCTTAATAATATTGTATTGAATTAAATTAAAATAAATGACGGAGAAATATTTAACTACGTGAGAGAAAACATGAGAATATGCTCGTATTAATGTTCTTACTGTCAAGATTTTACTCTTTTACATTTTCCCGAGGCAAACATTTTGTAGCCAAGGATATTTCTAACAAATATAACTGTTGTCTGACTTTAAACTTTCGGCAATTCGAAATTCTTTGAATTAGTTTCTTAATCTTTCGAAGTAAATATTGTTTTCTTCCACGGAAATTGCGCTTGCGTTTAGCAGGCGAAACAAATTACACTGAAAAGTCATTTAGAATTTTTTCGATCCCAGGACACTGAAGAAATCCGCAGTTCCCTCTCCGGGATTCGAATTCCGGACTTTCCGAATATGCGTCAAGTGTGCTTACAGTTACACCACGAAGGCATGCAGTAAGGAGGGAGAAAATACGTGTAACATCAATGGCCAAATCACATGTTTTAATTCCTGAAGAATTAAAAATAAAAAACAGTTTTCCAAATTTCACATTGCTAAACATATCTACTGGAAAACAAAAATTGACTCAATATAAATAGTTTTTCATATTTTTTGTAACGTTCCAACATATAATTTACAGCTAAATGTGTGTACCCTTGAGAACTAACTGGTCAGCGAATAATCGCTTTAGTTCCGTAGACAGAGAACAAATACTCAGGAAGGGTTAATTACCCTTTATTGCTCAAAATAAAAGTCACAGACGGTCTTCTTTCAGGACATACAGAAAAGCCTCTACTTGGGCTTGAACTCAAGAATGCTAAGAAATAAAAATTTAACTAAAAAGATATAGCCGAAGCTATCACAATTCTACAGGAGTTGGCCACTTAACGTTCACTAAACGGCGAAGCTATCAACGGCCTGGAATACGGCCGAGCGTAGAAATAGCTGAAAGAGAGTGTAGCCTGAAAGGCAAACGCGCACTGGTCAGAATCTCTGGATCTCTAACGAAGTCAGTAGAACTTTTAAATATTTTCTTGTCCTTCATTTGCATTTAACCGCGATTCTGAAAACACATTCTGGCAGGTTTTTCAAAACGTTTTCAAAACGTCGGATAAGAAATATGTTATTGGAATTTTCTTCATAGAAAACGCTTGTAAAATTTATTTTTCATGTATTATGATACCAGGTAGTAATATCAAATGTACAATGCCAGCATTCAAAATTTTTTATTTAACGAAATTCAGTTTTGTGTGATGCTTATATCGATGACATTTTCCTTAATGAAAAATGCTTAATTTATACGATAATTATGGATACAGCCAACTTTGCACATCGAATAAGTTTTCTTCCCTGGAGAAATCTTAGTACATTAAGTAATAACTTATTAATTCTAATTTTTAGTTTCCCTGTAAAAGTTTTGTTCAAAAAAAATTGTACACTTTTAATTAAAAGTATCACGATAATCAAAAATTCCACTTCATTTCATTTATTTCTCAAACCTGATTCACGAATCTGGGATTAATCATTTAAAATGCTTTTGCTCACATAGTTTATTTTAAATAACCTGCATTATAATTTAATATGAGTTTGCAGTTATTTTCAGTTAAATGTGTTTTATGTAGAGAAACTTACCCTTGAGTATTCAACTATATATCTATACTATTGATCTTATCACTTCACTTTTAGATAATTAAAGTGGTGTTCTTTCTCGCACTTCGCTTTTTAAAAGTATACGTTGTTTCAGAAAAGCAAGTGTTCGAATTACGCTGTCACATGTATCAAGCAAGATCCCTTATTGGCTCTGATTCTTCTGGTCTCTCTGATCCTTTTGCACGAGTCTTGTTTTCTGATCAAAGTCAAACAACTCAGGTGAGTAAGAATTTTCGAATCTGTAATAAATTAAATTTACTTTTTATTTCTTCACTTTTTTAAAGTTTAAAGAATGCAAGTTAAATTTATTTCGTACTTTTTCTTTTACTAGGAATTAAGAGACTAGAAAACGCGTAGAATCTAACACCCAACATAGCAAATTTTATTGCGTTTTTCACATAAATCTAAAACGTCGTGCACAAAAATACAAATAAGATTTTAAAGCAATGTCGTATTTTTTATTACTGCTGTCATCTTCTTTATTTCAAAACTGCAACTAAAACATTATTGAATATTTAAATGAAAACTTTCCTCAATTGCCAAATACATCGATATTTTCCATCAAAAATTAATGTGAAATAAGTATTTACTATTTGAATTTAAATATATCAAGATCTGTAAAGTGCAAAACATTTTATTTTCTTTAACATAATTTTAATTAAAATATTATCATTTATTTACTAAATTCCATTTAAAATACTATCATTTCTCTTAATGAATTGCTTATGAAATTTCATGAATCAATGTGAGATCTGTAAATAAAGTAATGACACACTTTCTAGAAGCCCTTGTGTTTGTATTTAAATTATAAATTCAGTCGTTCTCCTTCACAAGGAAGCCACATATTCAGCCTAAGACATTGCTTGCACTTTTCATAGCAATTCTAGACATCCAATATTGAAATAATTTTCAACTGGTCCATCTCAATCTCTTTTATGTTTTCTGTGGTTCCAAATGTGTTCCCTTTCAAACTGATTTTTCAAAAGTGGCAGGAACTAAGGTCCTGAAATATATGTGTTGAGGGTTAACAGGAATGCTTTTTCAAGCCAGAAATGCTCTTGAAAAACGTTTTGCATGACGGGACGTACTGTTATGATGAAGCACCCAAGTTTATTTGATGTCCAGCTGCATACGAACCATTCGTTTTCTCAGTCTGTGATTAATCGCTGAGTACCAAGCAAGGTATTCGAGACCACTGCTTAATAAGCTGTCAGATAACAAAAGGACTTCGCATAAAGTGGACGAATAACAATGCACAAGAACTCAAAATATATGTAATTAAGAAATAGCACCTAATAGAAAAAAACCAAAGGATAATGGATGTTGTTTCCCAGCATAGATACGAACTATATCACGCTGCATAGCAATATAATTCCGTTTATTCCATAACAGCTACTATAACAGCATCTATATTGCATTATATCAATGCTTCCTAAGTATACACATTTATGCTAATGAATGTTGTACTTCATACAGGGCATTCTCCCATTGGATGTTGGCGGACGAGCTAACTTTTGACCATTGCTCTAAAAGTATAATCTGTATAAAATTGTGTAGTACATACCGTAAACACAATGATGATATGCAATGGAAAAAATATATGTCCAAAGAATTAGTTATCAAGAAATAAAATTATGTGCGGAATTAACAGCTGCATCTGTATTAGAGAGTTATCTTTGTAACTATGCAGTAAAGCCTGTCCAAGTTATTACAATGCAAAGAACCATCACCAATCCGTTGAAGTTTTCTCTAATTCATCCTATTTCATATATAGCCATACAACTTCCGCATTAAAAAAGAAGAGCATGCAAAAATTAATAATAAAACTAAAATGTATTTAACCTTAGAGTTTCGCATAGAGTTTCCTTTTACTTTTATTTGCTAACAACTTTTATTGAATACCATAATACCTGACCTGAAACGGTATGTATTTCACAGGTGATCGATGAGACACTGAGTCCGACGTGGGATGAGATGCTTCTCTTTAGTGATGTAGTGGTCTACGGAAGCAAGGAAGATATTCGAGAAGACCCTCCTATTATTGTGGTAGAAATCTTCGACCAAGATAAAGTGGTAAGGATTGTAATATTCATTAACTTCTTGTTACTTTTCAGACATTAAAATACATTCCAGGTATGAGAGCTTAGAAATGTTAAGGTCGAATTATATCGTAAAAGCCAACAGGGCCAGGACTAATTAAACGTTTCTTGAAGAAAATATCATATGAATATATTTAGAGAGATACTGACAGACTTAGAAAAACACATTATTATGAACCTATTTAGATGTATCATGAACCTATGTATCTTGTAGTATCGTATAATGTTATGCCATTAGTGTTATATAGTAACATATGGTATCGTCCATACAATACTGTTGTGACACAAAGTAATGCGTGGTAATGCAAATATCCTGTATGTATCATGTGGTATTTTGTAGTATCATTTAGTATTGTGTATTATTATGTTGTATTATATTATGTAGTATTATGTTGTATTATAATATGTAGTGTTATTTTGTATTATATTATGTGGTATTATGTTGTATTATATTATGTAGTATTATGTTGTATTATATTATGTAGTATTATGTTATATTATATTATGTAGTATTATGTTGTACTATGGTATTATGCTAAGTTATACTCTCTTCGGCATATTGTATAATAGTACATTTTTATGCAGTAATAAATGCATCATGTAAGTTATGTAGTATCAAATAGTAACATAGTTTCAACGGAATCCCCTGTTGCTTAGTACATATCATGTACTAAGTTACCTTATGTATTTAGTATCACTAAGCATCATATTATAAGGTACTTCTCCCGCCTTCCTAGCGTGCCTTCGTGGTGTAGTGGTTCTGCAAGTTGGGCCGATATTCCAGAGGTCTGTGGTTCTATTCCATGCGAGGGCGTTGCTAATTTTTCAATCTTTTGCTTCCAAAAAACCTAATGTCTCTACAGTGGCTCCCGAACTAAAAGGGTTGTGGATGATGACTCTCCACACCCAGGATTTGGCGATAGGGCCCCCTAAAAACCCCAGTAGTCTTTTAAAAGGTGAAGTATATAAGGTATTTCTCCCGCCTTCCTAGCGTGCCTTCGTGGTGTAGTGGTTCTGCACGCTGGGCCGGTATTCCAGAGGTCCGTGGTTCGATTCCCGGCGAAGTCTTTGCTAATTTTTCAATCTCTTGCTTCCAAAAAACATAATGTCTCTACAATATAATTATGTGATTATACAGTATAAATGTTTTTGTAGGAAAAATTTAGAATCATGCTGTATTATAGTCTTACTAGTATTATCTCTTCACATGCTGTACCACGTTGCAATATACCTTACGTGGTGCCATACAGTATGTAATTTTTAGCATCATTCGCAAAATATGGTATCAAGCATAATAAGCTATTCTGTGCCATGTGTATCATTCAAAGTTAGGTTTCATACGGCTTTATATCTTCATACCATATGCAACAATATGTTGTATCGTGCAAAAATCATGTAACATCAAATGTATCATATAGTTCAAGGTAATTCATGTAGAAGCATATACTTTTATTGGTATATTTTGTGCAGCATCAGTTTAATCATGGTAAATGTATTCTTTTTGTTTATTGTCATCTTTTAGTCTCTTATATCATGTAATATGTACTCCTTTTGCAGTATGCAGTCTGTACCCTCTATGTAGTATGTAGTCTGTAGTCTGTATGTAGTATATAGTATGTAGAATATAGTATATAGTCTGTATGTAGTAATACTCAATAATCTGATTGCAGTTTCCTTTAAATTTCACGATTTTTGTATTTTTAATTATTTAAATACACATTTTTAATTTTTGAAATTTTGATGATAAACTTTTCAAGATATTAGGCTCTAATTTAAAAATTATCAGAATGCAGTTTTTTTTTTCTTTTCTTTATTTAAATGCAAATAGTTTATTCCCAGAAAATTACAGTAAGTATTTTTTTAATAAAAAATTAGGAAATATATTCTTCGTCTCCTATTTGCAGGACTCCTTATAATAACCATCTAATTTTGTGTATCATTCTTATACATAAGTAGGTGGATACAAGTTAGTTTCACTTAAAATGACCGAGCCCACCAGCGGCCGAGCGGTAAAGTCGCTGAACACTGGTAGTTCGGTCCGAGGTTCGAATCCCGCGAACGGACTGGCTGCATGGGTGTTTTCGCGGTTTTCCCCATGTGTAACGTGTATGCGAGCCCGTTTCCCTTAGAAAGTCCTCCACGAAAGGCATTCATCCCCTTAGGCAGATAGCCCTAGTGTGCTTTGCCGTAATTAAATACACACACACACACTTAAAATGTCCTCCACGAAGTCATTCCATCCCTTGGGCAGATAGCCTTAGCTTGCTTTGCCATAATCAAATAAACCAAACCTAATGATTCATGATTCATGTTATATATACTTTTTATGTATCGTGTAGTATGCAACAGTCTAAATGCAGTATTTATACAGTTAACCAATGAGTACCATTGAGTTTCAGTAATATATCACGTAGTATCAGATATCATGTATCATTGAATGTCTCAATGCAATATTATGCTGCATATGTATGTCACTTAAAGCACTGTGGCAAAGTACGTATCTGCCATGGCCCTTTTCTAGCATTTTTTTACATGATATTCAATAAATATGCTGGGTATCGGCGACTGTTTTGGGGAGTTCGTGTGGTCCCCCACCCATCCCCATACCACCTTGTGATGCTCTAGATAAGGGGGACCGCCATGGTAGAGGGGTGATGCTCGCGTCCTCTGTCACTAAACTACACTAAACTAAACTGAACCTGTTTAGAGGGGCACTGGGATGTGTATTGAAAAGTAAAATAGCAAATTACAATTTTTCTTGTATATGTATTCTTGCGTAAGAAGACGAAATAACTAGTTAGTAAACCTGATGCACTTTTTTCCCTCAAATAGCCTTACATTTGCTTTTTCAGCATTTGTCAGAATGATGGAGAACCCTCAGTCATTTAACCGTTTCATCACTAAAAACTTGAGCTAGTTTGCACCACGGAACCTGCCTAGTTTGCCCCGTGTCTAGTTTGCACCACGGAAGATAGGTCAATACTACACCCGCAAGAACGAAGAGGATATACCGAAAACAATCAAACCTTCAAGGACTTATTCAAGAGCTGAACCTCTCTCCGATGTTTGGGTCTATGCTGCTAAATATACTTTTATTTTTAATAATCACTTTAGGGTCATTTTCCCGTGTCGCTTGCCTCATAATTATGGTAACGGCTGCTGCTGTAGATGGTCGAGTTGCTTACTTGTTTTTTACCACTTCGTTTCCATTTAGCGTGTTCATGCTTATGAAAAGCATACAAATGAAGGCTGACTTGACCTATAGTCTCAGATGACGTAGAGAAAATAAGCCCTATACGAAATAAGGTAGGGTGAAAAGACTTTTAAAAGTCTAAATTAAACACTATAGCTTCAACCTTCTCTAACCACTATACTATCACCTAATGCGTTTGAATATCGAAATGTTGTTCACTCCGTTATTATGTCTGAAAAGTCAAATCACAGTACTTTTTCCGCACTTAGCTCAAATATTTTATTTCTTCTTCAGTTTTATTCTTCGAAGAGTTTGAACATTACGATAAAGGCGCTTTCATGGCAATGCGGTGCATATATATGGTAATTTGCATGCTGCTTGGCAAATTGCCATTTTCAGAGGTTTTGCATAGATAAAAGATTTTGCATCAGAAGCTTTGCATACTAGACATTTTCCATTAGTAGGTGTACTTTAAAAACTTTACATATCGAAGATTTTGCATTAAAGGTTTTTCATTCATGTCATAAGATCTTTTAATTTTCTTTTCAGTTAAAACTGTACGTTGCTTAACAAACTAGCAACATAAAAATTGTACTTATTTCTTCATAAATACTTTTGAAAAATTTTAATAATAAAATTAAATTATACACTGTGTATCAAGTATCTAATCGTTTCGTAACTGAGGTATTAGCGAGATTAATAAAAGACATTTCTAACAATATATTTCTTTACATTATGTTTGAATTGTGAAACATACGATTTTATTATAATAAAACTGAAAACAACTTCCTAAAATAAGAAATGTTTAATAATGCATTAGGTTTGGTTTATTTGATTATGGCAAAGCAAGCTAAGGCTATCTGCCCAAGGGATGGAATGACTTCGTGGAGGACATTTTAAGTGTGTGTGTGTGTATTTAATTACGGCAAAGCACACTAGGGCTATCTGCCTAAGGGGATGAATGCCTTTCGTGGAGGACTTTCTAAGGGAAACTGGCTCGCATACACGTTACACATGGGGAAAACCGCGAAAACACCCATGCAGCCAGCCCGTTCGCGGGATTCGAACCTCGGACCGAACTACCAGTGTTCAGCGACTTTACCGCTCGGCCGCTGGTGGGCTCGGACATTTTAAGTGAAACTAACTTGTATCCACCTACTTATGTATAAGAATGATACACAAAATTAGATGGTTATTATAAGGAGTCCTGCAAATAGGAGACGAAGAATATATTTCCTAATTTTTTATTAAAAAAATACTTACTGTAATTTTCTGGGAATAAACTATTTGCATTTAAATAAAGAAAAAGAAAAGAAAAAACTGCATTCTGATAATTTTAAATTAGAGCCTAATATCTTGAAAAGTTTATCATCAAAATTTCAAAAATTAAAAATGTGTATTTAAATAATTAAAAATACAAAAATCGTGAAATTTAAAGGAAACTGCAATCAAATTATTGAGTTGATTTCAAATCAACGCATGAAACAATTTTAAACTAAGCAATTACGATAAGCCTGCTACTTTAAGAGTTATCCCTCCGGAAACTGAACGTATAGAACATAAAAACTTACGCTTTTAAAAATGGCAGCGCCAAGCAGTGAAAAGCGCTTCATGTAATAATATTTTACTTGAACATGTTTTTAAGAACCAGGCTTAATCTCTTTATTTTACTGCATCGTTTACGCATTGGTCTGGCAACAATTATTTTGCTGAAATGGCAGTGATTTACTTTTTTGCCAAGGCAAAAAATCCGTTAATTTAAAAACAATAAACTTCCGAGA